CTGAGATGTGGTCCTTAAATGACTTTGCTCACTAATCTTGTGCTTCTCTGATGATGGGCTGTCAGCTTGAATAAATAATTTACTTCACTATGATTTTGGCTGGGGCAAGGAAAGGAATCTAAAAAGAGACTACAAACCAGTGTTTGAAGAATGAGCAACTATTTTGTGTACACTACCTGGAGTAGGTTCGACGGTGTGTGGTACTGATACTTGGAGTCCAGCATTTCAGTCTGTTGTAATGAGACATGATGGGTTAAAGTATGCTTTGGTCAGGGCTGGCGTGGTAGGTATAATCCCTTCCACTTTCAGTCATACATGCTTTATTCCTGTGAAAGTGATGCAGTCTCAGCTTTAGAATTTGTCAAGGTTTAATTTTTGGCACTGTTAACCCTTTACCGGGCACACATTTTAATTACCTCATATATATACATGTATTTAAGTGATCATATATGGTCACTTACCTGATAAAGGGTTAAAACAAGCACATTGAAATGTACTTTTTATGTTTACTTCTTTGTTTTGATTACAGCCTTTAGAAATGGAAATAGGCACAAAACAGATTTTATAACTTCAAAAATGAAAATATATTTGCACAATCTTAGATATTCAAAGGGTAGTAGTACTGTAAATGTAAAATTTAAAAAATATATAGTAGAAAGTCATGGGTAGCTGCAAAGAATAGGTTCTCATGGAGTGTTGGGGTCATAAAAGCATAGCAATGGGAGAACCCAGAAAAATATGCCTAGAAGACAATGTTAAATGAATTGGTTAAGATTCCAGACTATGGGAAGCCCTTTAAAATAGTGTAGTTGCCTTGACAAGCTGTGGCTGGAAATAGTTTTGGTATTTGGGAGATTTATGCATTACTGATGCATCCCTGCATTTTTGGCTTCATGTATTTTTGAGGGGAGGAGGTTACCTTTTGAAAGTTACTCAGAATATTGAAAATATATATATTCCTTTAGAAAGAAATGACCATCCATTGACTCGGTATGCATTGTATTTAATATTTCACATGAATTCCAGATTTTTCAGGTTTCATAAACAAATCTTGCTCATGGAAAAGAATGAATAAAAATATTTAAAAACTTCTTTTGTAAATTTGCAAGAAATGGAGTTCAGAATTAGATAATTGTATAATTTATATTCAACCTTCTTTAACCCTTCAGTTACTGGTATGTCTATAGCTGTAATAATGTAATGGCCATTGTATAAGCGCACCATGACTTGCAACAGGTGGGCTGGGTATACACAGATTAGGCTGAGCCACAAAGTCTAGACTGTTGTGTTATATTACATCACAAAAAATCCAGGTCCCATCATCACAGGTTTAACTTTAACTACTGAGAATGCTAAGTTCGTCACCCGTTTTTTGGTAGCATAGTCAGATGTATCCCGTAAAGTTGGGAATTTTGATTTTCCAAATTATCTTTAATGTGCACAAACTTTTGTAAAATGAGATGATAACTACAAAGATATATACAGATTTTGACTCTTATGACATGTGATAGATAAAGATCTCTCTATTGTTAAAAAGATAATCATATTGTATGTATTTATATATACCCTATGTATACCCTCACAATTCATATGTGGGATTGCCTAAAATACATTATCCAGGTAGGGTTACATATATATACAGACAAAAGAGACAAGGACAGAAAGAAAGAAAGAAAGAAAAGAAAATTGAATAGTGTCCAGCTGTATGTAGAAATACAGAATGAATATTTTAGTCCTTTTGCATATGTATTATAGAAACCAATATGGTCACATTATTTTCAGTGTTTATGATGAATATGATGTGACCATTTAAACTTTTGGTTCAAGGGCTTTTTGCTTTGAAATGTAGCTTGGAACTTTTTGACTGATGAAGATGGGAGTGAGCTTTTTTTCAGAAACAAATGGGGTCTTGCTTATTTTACTACTTTTTTTTTCGCAAATTTTGTCCATGGCTTTTGAATTTGCAGAAGTTGAAAGGGCTTGGATACAGAATCATTATAATTATTATTATTATTTTTTAATGGGATAGATGGTTTTCAAAAGAAAAATGGTCCAGTCCAATTACCATAGGTAGATGCTTTGATGGCAAAAATGTGTGGCATGTTCATTGTTTTTTTTGGTTTTGTTTATTATGTCTTTACTCATAGATGGCTCGACAAGTGCTTAATCACCAAGGAGTCTGTTACTAGTCCAGCTTATATCAGGTGTCTTCCCTTTTCCTTGAATTTTGGAAAGATTCTTGTTTTTTATTTTTCATTGCTATTAATACTTTTGATGGTATAATGATAATCATATTGGCAATGATAATAAGAACAACATTCAAATGAATAGCATTAAAAAAAAAAAAAAAAAAAAAAAAAAAATTAAACCTCAAAGAAAAGGGAAAACCAGGTGAGGTCATGTTGGCCCACTTATTGGGTACTTGGTGGCTGAACACCGAGGGAGCCATTGTTATACAAACAAAATTTGTAAAAAAATGTTACATAGTAAATGTACCTAG